CCCTATACAGAATTTTATTGTTGTTAACAACCATTTGATCAATAAATATGAGAGATGCCCTCTCAAGAAAAAAAAAAAAAAGAAATTAAAAAAAAAAAAGTCCTGTGTTTAATTAGGTATGTAAACCACACTGTTTCAACTAAATAGAAAGGGATCACAATCCCTCTGGACTTAGTATCTTTCAGTCCAGAAGGACGCCTGTGACATAGCAACAAAAGCTTACTCCTGATGAACCACAGAACACCCTCTTGAGGGATGAAAAGGGACTGACAGGTGAGCATGATGGATGTTGAGCATTTTTTTAAAAAAAGCATATAGCTAAAACTGTTCAAGAAGCTTCCAGGCACTCAGGGTCATTGATTATCACCTCCATTCTGCACCTTCAGTGCTCCAGTCTAGACTCGGGACTCTGCCTGTGGTTATTCGGGGTTTAGAGAGACAGTATGATTCTTCGCCATCAGAAACTCAGACCAATTGCCAAAGTTTGCCTGTTTAACCTTATAAGAAAACAAACAGGAAAGAATCTAACCTTATAAGAAAACAAACAGGGAAGATTCCAAAAGTGAATCTGGGTAATACTAATTTCTTTTGAATATACAGATCAATCCTATAAGAAAACAAACAGGGAAGATTCCAAAAGTGAATCTGGGTAATACTAATTTCTTTTGAATATACAGATCAATCCCAATATAACTATTCTGAATGCATTACGTCTGACTTCCAGGGGAGATAGTCCCAGACATCCTAGCTGGAGACAAAGGACCTACGAATCATTTTCCTGTGCTAATCCCTAGCCGATCTCACCCTTAATTTTAAAGCAACAAAAACAACAAGAAAAGCAAATACTTATGGGAATTTTAAAAATGTCAAGCTCAGTAACATTCCTGAAAAGAGTCAATTGAAACTCAGTGTAGAAGTGGATCACTTACATGCAAGTCTGAAATTCTTACTGCTTAGATATGAGCTTTATAAGAGAGCCTTTGTAGCCCTGAAAATAAACAACCAAATTTAGACAAAAAGAAGAGTACTAGGAAAAACAACTGTATTAGCATTTTGCTCAAGTAAAAATGAGTCCTTCAGACGACTGATTTTTCTAACTGCTCTGGGAAAACAGTCTTTTTCCCCCCCACACGTATGTGTGAGCATATGCCTCTGGTTGCATACTTGGAGCCTAAAAGAAATCAAGCCCTGGAATTCATGCATTTACCTATGTTTCTTTTTGTTTTTTTCATGAAATTAGGCAATGGTAGGAAAATGGGCATCTCTGTCAACAGCAGATCTTTTTCACTGTATAGAATTAGAAGACGGAAGGGGGTCACTTTAATAAGACAGGAAGGCCAGAGCATGTGATGACTTGGCCATATATTTGCCATAAAATAACAATAATGAAACATTAAGAATGTACTAGGTAGAATTTAGGATTCACAATTTCAAACTGAGTTCTTCCACTTGCTTATTGGAGCGGCCAGTTCACATGCTATTATTCTGAGACGTGCAGAAATTCCCTTTAGGTTTTTTACTCTAACTCATCCCCCAGGCAGACAGAACCACCCACTTCTACTCCCTGCTTTCACCCCTCCTGGTCCCTCGGGAGAAGTATAACAAAGTGTGTTTATTTCTGAAAATAATCAATGGCCGGTGGCTTGTGCTGAAGGATGACAGGAGGGGGAAAACACCACCTGACATGATGGACCACTGCCCCCATCAGTGGTGTAGAGGCAGATCTGCGGACTAGGGTCAGCCTCCAGGGACTTTAATTAAGAGGGCTGTCAGGAATGTACGAGGGTCCTGACTTAAGCGTTGGGATTTCTGGGCAGGATGTGGGAATTGATTCATCTGATGGCTTCCCAGCAGAGAGAACTATCTTACCAATGAGCTGGTGTAAACATTTTACCTCAAAGGCCTTGAGAGCTTGGCCAGACAGCTCATGATTCATAGGCCTGCCTCCTCCTTTTCCAAGGTGATCTCTATAAAAAAACCTGGGGGATCACACACCTTAATGGCCTCAGAGGCAAAGGATAAATAGGTATTTCTCTTGAGTAAACCACCACTGGTAGGGATGTGCTGTGGTCTCAAGTGGCAAACAGGGAAGCCATATCACATAATAGCTTGGAACAGGGATGGCAGAGTCAGTCCGCCTAGTTTGAATCGTGGCCCTGCTCTTTCTCATGTGTGTGGACTTGAGCAAAACTGATGCAACTGCTAGAGTTTCATTTTCATCCATTGGAAAAACAAGGCCAACTCACTTTACCAGACTGCGATGAGAATTAGATATTGACAGAAGTGGCTTGCTGGCTGAAGAGAGAGAGAGAGAGAGAGAGAGAGAGAGAGAGAGTGTGTGTGTGTGTGTGTGTGTGTGTGTGTGTACATATATAAGCACAGTGACAGAAGGGGCTTGCTGGCTGAACCGTGTGTGTGTGTGTGTGTGTACATATATAAGCATAGTGGTATTTTGTCCGTTATACAATCAATTCACTTAAAATGTCCTCATTGTGTGTGTGTGTGTATATAAGCATAGTGGTATTTTGTCCGTTATATGATCAATTCACTTAAAATGTCATTTTCCAAAGGGAACAGACAGTGAGAACTAGAGGCCTGTGGAAGACACAGGAAAGTCTGTGAAGGAGGTGCTCTCTCCCCACAGCACCTCCTTCTTTCTCACTTCCTCCCAGCTCACCCCACGTCTAACCTCTCTCTTCCCTCTGTACTGTCACCATTACTGCTGCATTAGGGGAGAGCTGTCAGAGGGGAGTTTTGTCCATCATTACACAGTGCCTCCTTGGCATGTAAGCTAGACTCTATTTTATCTCTGTTGCCTTTAACCGGTGGCTGCCCCTTACCTCTTCCTTTCCAACCCAGCTGTTGTCAGCTGTCACTTCCTATTCCTTCTCTGGGAGAAGCGAGACCCTGGCCTTCAACCCGTCTTGCCTCTGTGGCTGGGTCCTGCTTCAGCAGGGATGGACCTTTAACCAGAAGTGAAGATGGTCCACTGCTTACTCATAAGTGTACCTGGCCAGGTGTCCTGGTGACATGACCGGCTCAGACACAGGCCCTGGACTGATGGCCGCTAGGTTCTCTCTTGGAGGGCAAAGGCCCCTAGCCCCAGCTTTCTCTTACCCCCATAAGCTAATTTTCAAATTTCTCAGCAGTCTGGTTATTTCAGTGTTAGTCCAATTTCCCACTCGGTTTTCAATCCCAGCAACATTAAACCCCTCTATAGGTATTTTATGTTGACGGTCACAATGGACAGGCCACTGCATTGAATATTTTACTAAGCACCAGCATGGCAAGCAAATCTTTATATTTTTGTTTTACTTTGATACTGAAGACATTTTCCCCATGGAAAAAAATAATGGTGGTCAGGTTCTTTGGTTCATAAAAGCCTATTTAACCTTTTATGTTTCCAAAGAAAAGTGTTAATAGCATGCTTTTTAACTAAGAAATCTTCTACATAGGGCCTGATTTATACGAATGCATTTGAAATATAAATACATAATCAATAATTGATGTTTTTGGTGATATGTACTCAGAAGGGTGGAGGGTAAGTGGGGAGGACCAAGGCTATTGCAGGTAGAGGAGAGACCGATGTCTACACGTCAGTGGAGGGAAGCAGAAAGGCTCTGCGTCAGCTGCTGGGAGATAAAAGGCAGTTCCAGCCTCAGTCTTTCCCGGGTGAGCCTGCCATCAGGGCTGAGCTGTTCAAGTCTCCTTTACTTGCTCACCTTTTAAATATATCACTTTTAAGGGTGCTTTCTCAAAACATTCCATTTCTTCCTCCAAAAAGCCTCCAAGTAGCTAATACACATACTTTTTGTCTTTTACAATTTCTGAAAGATAGAAGAGGTACCTTAAATGGTCTGAAAAGCAGATAGAGCTCCCGAGGTTTGACATCCAGAGGCAGATCGCTGACAAACAAGGTCCGGACCTGGAAAACAAACAGGAGGCGTGGTCAAGGGGGCGTGCCACCAGGGGGCAGCTCTCACGGGAATCTCAGAAACCCATTTTTGCAAATATTCCAGGCCTCCTACCCAGCCCACGCTCCGTGTGTGACTCAGCGGCTACTCTCGTGTTAAGATGCCACTAAGCCAACTCTTGAGCTTTCTATGTGGAATATTCACAGGGCATCACCTCGAGCTAATTTAAATGTACGAACTGACTTCCCCTTTCCCAAGTAGCCACTGCCTGGTTCTCAACATGTGAGTTGAACACAGGGTCCAGATAATTAGAATATTAGCTGAAGAAGAAATGCCACAGGGAGAGGAAATCTCCACTCTGCTCTGATCAAAGTCACACAGAATGTGGTTCACCAGTAAAATTTAAACAATTTGTTTTCTCCTACTTGTCTGGCCATGGCCTCCCTTCTCAGCATCAACAATTAACAGTAACTTTAATAAATGCAAAAGCGTATTAAGCTCAAACACATGTAAAGAGTAGCCAAAATGCATAATAACTCTGTATCTGCTCGGTTCCAAAACAGCAGGGCAGACCTCACTGCCCTCCAAGGCCTGGGGTACAATCTACGAGCTTAGTGTCTAGTCAAATTCAGAACACGGATGGCACACTTCCAGCTTGCAGAACTGGAGAAAACATGCTGGCATCCAGTGGAACAAACAGGTAGGATTCTACCACACAGACAGAAAAGTGAGGTGGGGTGGGGAAGAGGCACGGCAGAGAAAAGCACTAACCAGAGCCAGGGAGCAGGGGGGAGCCTGGTGCATTCTGGGTAAAGCAAGCCAGTACTGAACAGGCAGCTGTGGATCAAACCACAGGGGCCTCTCAAGTCACCAGCCCAGGGATACAGCCTGGATTCAACAGACAAGGAAAAGCCCTGCATGATCACCAACACCACATTTTGTTTCTACTTATTTAGTGTGTTTTGAGTCAATTTTACACCCACACCCAACCCCGAGCTTTACTGAAACATAACTGACATGTAACAATGTGCAAGTCTTAAGATAAACATGTTGATTTGATACTCATGTTGCAAAATGATTACCACCAGTCTTAGTTAACACTTACATAACCTCCTATAACTACCATTTCTTTTCTGTGGTGAAAACATTTATGATCTACTCTCAGCAACTTCTAAGTATATAATACAGTACTATTATATAAATCACAATGCTGTGCATCGGCCCCCAGAGCTTATTCAACTCTTAACCAAATGTTCGTATGCTCAGACCAACGTCTCCCCATTTCCTCACCAATGCCCCCGCTCCCACCCCGTTAACCCACATTCTACTGTTTTCACAAGTTTCAGCTTCACCTCCACATTTTCTATTCCTCCACTCAGACTGACACAACATGATTAATTCCTCATTAGTGTGTTGCTACTGAAAGAAAAATTCAGGGCCGAATTGTTAACTACGAATCAATATGAAATTTTTTTCCTCAAGGAGAGTATTTTGTAGAATTCTAACACTTACCATTGGTTCTGGTTGTGAAGAAGCACAAATCAGCAAGTAAGACCCTTTTATTGATTCAGCACAGTCCAAGGTAAAATGCCAGGCCATTTGTATGCAGGTGTTTAACACTAGGAAGATGTCGGCAGTCCCAGAATCATGAATGACGTATTTTATTACTTGCTTGTTCATTCATATTTTAGACAGCTTCACTGAGATATGATTGACATACAAGCTGCACACCCTTTACAATCTGATAAGTTTTGACATACATATAACCTGTGAAAATATCACACCAATCAAAATAATGAACATACCCATCACCTCCAGAAGTGCCCTCCTCCTCCATTAATCCTCTAGCCCACCATCCTCATCCCCGTTAGTCACTGACCTGCCTTCTGTCACTATAGATCAGTACGTGTGTTCTAAAGGTTTATCTGAATACAGCCAGAAAGTATGTGTCCTTTTTGTATGGCTTCCTTCACTTTGGCAGACAATTATGTTGAGATTCACCACACTGTTGCATACACTCCTTTTTATTCATGAGCAGTAGTCTGTTGTATGGACACACCACTGTTGTTTATCCGCATACGTGTTGATGGAGCATTCTGGGTTATTTCTGGTTTGGGGCTCTTACAAATAAAATAGCTATGAACATTCACATACCAATTTATAAAAGCCCATTTGCATGCATGCGTGTTTTCCTTCTTCTTGGATAAATACCTAGGAGTAGAATAGCTGGATGATATGGTAGGTCTATGTTTAACTTTTTTAAAAAACTGCCCTTCAATTCCTTGTTTTATGGCTGAGAACATGACACAGGTGCTGTGTGTACTTAAACTTGTTGCAGTGTTTTATAAATGTCAGTTAGGCCAAGTTTGTTGTTCACTGTATCTTTTGTCTCCCCCGCCCCCCAACTTTGCCAGTGATAAAGATGCATTCCAAGGAACTTTCTTTACCCACACTGCTCAGGCTGAATAACTGGCAAGTGCCGATGGTGGGGGCTCCTGCTGTCCAGAGTGCCCACTGCCAGCCACAGTCCTCTCTCCAGAGCCTGGACGGTGAACACCAGCTCTTCCGTTTGGCTGCTCTCACCAGGAGAACCTCGGCAGAGAGGGAACCCCAGCTTCTGTCATTCAGATTTTGTAGAGTGCCTGTTTTACGTGACACCACGCCAGGAGCTGACTGGATCACAGAGACGTCCGTGGAAATAATACAACGAATACACCTTATGTGTAAAACACAGCCAACACACATTCGGAGAGGGGTAAAAAATGCCTTGTGAGATTATAAATATATACCAAAATGCTTGTATTTATGTGGTTTAGCCCTGAATGGTGGTATAATCAGTGGTGCTTAATTTTTTTATTAGCTTTTTTGTATTTTCCATCTTCCTATTAAAAGTATGTATTTTAGATATTCTAAGTTTACTTTGCTAGGTTGAGAACTGCCTAGATTTTACTGTTACTTTCTTTAGGAAACTAATGTCAGTAAAAATTGCAAAGTTTATGGAGGAAACCTTTCTTTTTGTAAATATTTCAGAATTAGGAGTGAGATTCTTTTTAGTGTCTCAACAGAAAACTTGTAAATGACAAAAGACACTGAACTGTTAGACCTAAGTCTGCCATTCACCCACAGATGACAGGTGGCTCAGAGCAACTATGCTTTGTTCATCAAATTAGAGGCAACTAAGACGTCTGCTACTTCACTTACACACAGAACCCAGTGACATTCCCCAGGATCGAGTGAAGTCCATACTGTCTCAGAAACCTCCCAGGGTATCTCATCTCTCCTGGAAGAAACAGTCTCTCCTCTGAGAGAACAGAGAGCCTGACCAGGAGAAATGATCCTTACATACTCGATTTATGAGGACAGCATTTAGGAGGACAGCTACGGTCATTTAAATTCAAGTTGGAAATCTTTCCAGACCTCCTCAGACTAGGAACCTCATTAAGTAAGTTTAAATTAAGAAAAAAAAATCATGGATAACAAATGGAAAAACTTCCTGAATATCTAACTCTTGCTTTTCTATGTTGAGTGGGGCCTAGAATCCTGGGGTATTTGAAAACACGCTAGCCTCCCTACTCCTCTCACCACACTTCATGCTAGCAAGGCATTTCTGGGCTCCACCTACGGGAATCACGAAGTTGAGACAAGACTTTGGCTTGTGGGGGGGTCAAAGGGGGACGCGGGGTGGGCTTTACTGTCAGTGCCGGACACAATACGCAAGTGACCTTCTGTGAGAACAGAAAGCTCAGCTCATTCACAGAGTAATGGATTTGACCAGTGAGGTCAACATGTAAAAGACAAAAATCCATGATCAAATACTCAGGAAACAAGTCGCTCCAAAATAACAGATGAATGCTGCCAAGCAAACTTTGTGGCAGGCCAACCATTACCCAGGGCATCCCTTAACTTACCAGCAGGGTCTATGGACACAGATGTGCTCAGCACTCTGTCTTTAGCATCACAGGTGTTTACTTTGTCAGACACACAGGGGAACATGTTTCTTAGTCAAGGACACAACATGCCTCACAGAAGTTCAAGACACAAAGGAGCTGATAGCTCCACCCCAAAGGGACTCTAATGGATTCTGTGGCTGTACCTCCAATTTCATTTTTACCCCCAAAGAACTGAAAGAGTAAATGCCAAGAGAAATCGCCCTGTGCTGGAGAGAAGGAACAAGAGCCTGCTTGGCTCAGCCACTATCTAGCGTTCTGGAAGAGGCCACAGGTCACATTTTGGATAAAACTAGCAACGTGCTCTTAGGTGGCACTGCCAGCTACCACCGAGAAAGACAAGCCACATTTCTGTGACTGGTTCTAATTTAATAAATTCAAATTCATTAAGACAAATCATGGTGTCAGTGTTGAGCTTTCTTGGTAGAAAGGTCAAAAGAGTCCTTGAAATGGAGAGGTTCTACCTTTAAGAAAGAACATGCATATCCTGTAGATAATCTAGACATTAAAATACAACCAATAGACGAATGCTTGATTCCGGGATGCAGCAGAGAATATTCACACACACTTTTCAGCTAGTGGCTGCAACCAGCAAATGGGACACTGTCCAAAGACTCAGGGCATTTTCTGTATATGTTTTAGGTGTTAAAAAGAGTCTTAGACGTCTCACCCTTAGTGCTCTGAGCTGACTTCTTGCGGTTCCTCTGAAATTCATAGGATTAGAAAAGGCCATTTCTCATTTTCTAATGACTCATGAAAACCTGTGTAGAGTCACTCATTTGAAACATCTAATGAGTAAAACCCATAGGGTGCTTCTATGATCTATCCTCTGCACACTTCCCATCTACCCACATTCTTAAACACACAGATGCAGGCTCCAAAGGCAGCTTTCAAATATGCTGTATGTTGAAAGCATTGCTCTTTCAAAGGGCGTTTTAGGGTTTGAAGCCTCTTTAGTATTTTTTATTTGCAGTATGCAGCATTCCCCTGGGCACAGGGTGCATACTCTATAAATATCTCTTCGATTATTTTAGGAATCTACAAAGTAACATTCTGTGTTCAAA